GCAGGAGCAGGACCATGCTCCGAGCCAAGGGGATGGGACCGTGCTCGGGTGACCACGACATCCCGATGCTCGGGGAAGTTCAGACACCTAGAGTTTGTTAAATCAAGACTGAAAAAGCGGCTCCCAACGCGAAACGCGTTAAAACCCGTGAATCTCCAAACCACCTGGCTTATTTAAGCTGCTCCCTTCCTTAAATGCCGACACAATATGCAATACTACGACGACGGTACACAGTCTATCACCGATCCAGTCGATGTCCCTCGCTGCTCACCCAAGCCACAGTGAAGAACTGGAAAGGTGAAGTAAAAACCAGTTGGTTTTTCTCCTCTCTTGCCCCAAATCTGGGGTGAATTTACACAGGCATCTCCCAAAGAGGAGAGCGGATCCCTCCTGACCTTCCCCAGCCACCCCAGCTCCTTGCCCACCCCACACGCCGAAATATGCGCTGTTCTCACTAAAACCTTCCTCCTTCCCTGAGGTTAAATGAGTGTTTTACCAGCCGAGGGCTTCTTGGGGCTCAAAAAGCAAAACTCTGAATAACCCTCTGAATCCCCAGAAGCAGAAGGATTTAAACAATACGAGCCATCGCCTCTAAATCTACTACTGCTTTCTTCTACGTGGTTTAACAAATTCTCCAATAGTTGTCTGAAACCTACCATCCCTGCACAACTGAAGGGAGATTTTACTGCACATGTGCCTCTGATTACAATATATAACCACTAATGATCATTGCCTGGATTACACTTATCTCTTTCTTTGGCTAATAAACTATAAAAGACCACCAGTGAAGATGTAATAAAGTGCAGCTGTTGTAGCAAAAGCCTTTTTCTAGGTCAAAGCGAGTTTGGGAGAGGCTCGGGAGGACCGTCTCTGCGAGGGGAAGCAATACCTAACTGGAAATAAGAAGAGCTCCTCAAGGCAGCTTTCATTAATCTGAAACTTTTATCCTAGAAACATTTATCTGCCAGCAGGACAAGGGGAGGTGCAAGCTCTGCATTTCTCTCCTGCATCTCATTAGACTCAAAATGGACCCTTGGGCTCCTTAGAAATGTTCCTGGCTGCACGACTCGGCCATGCACGTACCTACGCTCGTGGAGAGTCAGAAAAAGGGAATGAAAGGAACATTTATTTTTTTTTTTTTTGCTCGGCGTGGAGTTGCAGCCTTTCCGAGCATGAAACATAAGCTGTTTAAGAGCACGCAGCAACTGTTTGCAGGTGCCAAAGGGCAGGAAGGGGGAAAAAAAATACCGTATTCAAGTCCAATGGAAATTTAGGAAGTTCGAGAGAATTGCCAAGACTGGAAAGCAGCCAGGACGCTGAAGTAAACACCCTTACATTGAACTAAGGACTGGACAGATAACCGGCGAGTTGAGCGTTATTACACCTTGTGAGATGAAACCTCCCAGCGAAAGCGCTTGCACCAAGGAGGAACAAACCAACTGCCCCCGTATCCCGCAAGACTCCATCATTCGCCCAAGATTTCCCTACGGCAGGAATAATATAACGTGATCTTGCACAGCTGCCTCAAACCCAAAGCAAGAGGGGGAAAAAAGGGGTCTCTCCCCTTCTGTACCATTTGTGCTACGGCAGCATCTAGAGCATCCCGAGCCAAACGCTGCACAAATGCAGAATAAGACATCGGCGATGTGGAAATGGCTTTATTGCTTTGAATTAATGGCCTCATACACTGCCCAGGGTTTAAAATACACGGAAAGGTTTGCAGGGAAAGGTATTCTCTTTCATTTCATCAACTAACACAAGTTGGGGGGGAAAAAAAAACGAACAAAAACATGAAGATCTCAGAGACAGAGGCCCTTCTTCCAATTTTAACAGAATGCTGGAAGTTAATGTATCTTTCATGAGGACAATCTAGATAATAAGCAACACAATTCCACAGCACAAGCCGGGGATTTATTTTTTCTCTTTCTTTCTTCCTTCCTTCCTTCTTTTTTTTTTTCCTAAATAATCAAGAATTTCTGGTTGTGGATAGACGACCGAGGTAAAACTTGAGTCACCAAATAACCCCCGGATAGAAACACACTGTAACCTCTTGCGCTAAGCAGCATATGAGATTGTACTTTCAGATTTGGGCAGAAACAACAACTTCAAAAAAAGAAACAAAACACCCTGTGTCAAACCTAAACCAAAATTGTTATTCAGCAATTTGCAACACTTACTGTCATATTAAAGTAATTTTATTTTATTTTCGCTCGCTTGCTCTGTTCTTGTAACAAAACAGCAAATCTCCGGATTTCAGAAGACATTTGGTATAGCAACTGAAGCACTCCTTAAATGTTTAGGGGGTACAGCCCGTGACACCGGTAATGGCTGCTAACGCCGGTGGAAATTGTGCAGACAGAGGGGAACGGCGCCAGATGAGACCTTGGTGACAAAATTGCGGCGATGCCGAGGCATGACTGAGGCATGACACACCGTACGGCACCACTCAGCAAGGAATGGGGGAAAACAGGGAAAACTGCTACCAGAACAATGCTGTAACAGCTCCGGCTCTCGCTCTCTGATAAGGATTTCTTTCCAAGCCGTGCAATCTGTGGATGGGCACGGTTTGGAGCGAGGTCTGGCTCCGGCACGTTCCCTGTCACCTCTCCTCCCGGTGACTCTGCCATGGGCTCCCCTCCACACCGGGCCCTCAGACCACGCATGGACCGAAGCTTTTCCTGCAGAGGTTTGCAAGACTTTCTCCAGGGTCTGAGACATCCCGTCCTGGATCAGCTACCAGCCGGGGACGGGGGAAGCCGGTGTTTTTCCGTCCGTACTTCCCACCTGCTCACTGTCTAGCTACGATGGCTCTGTAACATCTCTTTCTTTCCTGCGTGGATCTATTATTTATAAACAAGAACGAACTTTTACTAAAAGCAAGCTTCTACTTTTTTATTTAGAAAACTTCCAAAGGAAAGAAATTTTTGTTCAAACAAGCAAGCGCTCACCAACCCGGGCTGGATGTCACTGACCATGCCTGCTGTCCACAGGGGAGCTCCCCAGTTGATTTTAATCCTTCAGCTGGAGCAAAGGGTTGGTAGTAACCACCACATAAACGGAGAGAGGTTGAATGCTTTAATGCATTCAGTATTACTCATCTCGGGTCTTCTTTGAAGCACAGATGAAGGCATCTGGCAGGCTAAGACACAAGAGGTCTTCACCCTTGCCACAGAACAAGAGTCCGGACTCAGCTACACCATCCCACCTCTCCATGCCCCAGCTGTAAAGCAAGGAGGATGGCATTTTGTGAACTATTACCTCTTCAGGAAAGGCTGATTTTTAACCTGACAGCATCTCTTTTGATGATACGCATCCCTGAAGTACACGGTTATGACAAACACTCGATATGGCTCATAAGACAATGTTGGTACTTACTTTTTCAAAGGCTCTATGACTGTCTTTTGGATCTGATTCACCTGTTGAAAGCAAAAGGGATGATTGTATGTCAGGCTTGTTGAAAAGGCCTGTTTGCACAACGATACGTGTTTGCACAGTGCCTACCGTAGCATGATGTGGGCTTCTGAGCACAGCCACAATGCCCTTTAACCAAAAAACCAGCAAAATTCTCCCATGCGCTCAAGATGAGCTGAAATCCCCAGTACAATCAGAATCAGAAGAAGAGTGAGATTACAGAGAAACTCATGCGGGAAGCGTCTTGGAGATGATGCCAAAAAGGGAAGGAGGATCTGTCTGGAAGGGCGAGATACCAACAGCACACCCTGGTCTCCCCTTCTTCAGCCAAACCCATATTCACCTTCTCCTGGTTGAAAGAGTCCATCCTCTTCATCGCTGTGTCGAAGGCCGTGACCATCTCCAGAAAGCTGGGCTCCTGTTCACACAGGGGATTAGACAGCAGGTCCGAAGAGATTTTGACAGCCGACTTGGACATGGCTGTGGGCAACAGGAGCATGCAAAGGAAAGCAGAGAGGGTCATGTCTCAGCGGTTGCCTGGTGGGACAGCTACACAAGCCCCCATTGCCAGGGCTGGCACCTGCATCTGCAAAGGGTGACCGTGGGCAAAAATTGGGGACTTTGGCCACCGAGGTGGGGTTTAGCACAACTTTCCAGGGAGATATTTACTGGTGGTTGAGAGAAAAGAAAGAGCGAGCCACCAATTCATTCACGTAAACACCCAGAGAACTGTTTTTACATAAGTTAAGTCTGAACCACTCCGATGTACGCCTTGCGATGTTGCCAGAAATAATACCAGACTAACAAAAGCACTGTTCTCTTAAAAAAATGTAGATGGGCTTTTTATACGTCTTTTCTCGACAGACTATTAAGTGTCACTCTCAGTCTCACTACAGCTCTTCCACAATGAGAAAAATCACAGTCCATTAAGCCTTTCAAATGGCTTTACAGAAATATATATTTGAAGTGGATTTAGTGCTGGTGGAAAGGGACCAGACTGACAGGACTGGAAGACGAGGTTTCTCTTTTACTCTTAAAATAGGCACTAGACAAGCAGCAGAGACACAAGCTGGCTAAGCACTTTCCCTCAGTGAGCCGAAATTTTCTGCCCGTGGAGACCGACTCCACGAGCCAGGGGAAAATGCAAAGGCTGAAGTCTCTTCAGCCCCCAGGACTGCCACCAAGAACTCCAGAAACACCAGGTCACAGTCCGATGGGCTTCAGTTCCTGTCCCGCTGAGCACTTCTGCTCCTTTTCCATCAGCCACATCTCTCTTCCTATCCAAACACTTGGGTCTTCAAAGGGAAAATTAAATCCCTATGAAAGGACCACTACAAAAGAGCAAGAAAACAGCTAAGGTATAGAATGGAAAAAAAGATTAATAAAAAGGCAAGCATCAATATAAACGTGAATAAAGAAGGGGAAAAAAAAAAAAAGTCACGGGTACTAAAAAAAAAATAAATGTTCTTTTCGTCAGCACTGTTGCTGGAAGTTATTCCAGTTGAAGATCAGAAAGCCAGATGCTTGAGCCGTGCTACAGATGAGCTTTGGAAAGACTCCTACTGTACTTGCTCAGATATTAAAAGTTAAAGTCATCTGAATAATGGGGCTTAAGATCATAAATCAAGGGGTTAAACATTCTGATTTAAAGGTTACACACAATTATACAGAGAGCTCAGAAGCTAAATAGCTGGGAAGCTCAGTGCAGAACGAGACGCTAACTACGGAATAACAAAGCTACCGTATCCGTCTATTATCCAAACATTAAGGGTTTAGGCATTTAAACCTTTAAACAGATGGGATATAATCCATATGTGTGACCACATCTGAAGAAGGATTTGTGCCAAAACGGGACGGAGTTAAGAATGGCAGAACTCCTTCAGCTGGAAGAAAAATTAGTTTCCCTTCATAGGGAGAGGACTGAAAGCGTACCGTAGCGAGGGGAGCTGCTGCGAGCAGCGGCGTCACGCTGGGAGGCCAGAACCCGGGGTTTTTCAGGCACGTTCAGCGAGATTTTGGGTCAGGCACTTTCCCCGGCATCCCTGACCTCACCTGTACGGCTCTGAAGCTCTGCAGTCCCCGAGGCAGCTTTGCAGACCCCGGCACACGCTGTGTCCCCACTCAAACTCAACGGGTCCATCGCTGACATGGGAGAGGAGAGGAGGGGAGAGGAGAGCATCGCCTGCCCCTTGGGGTCTGTACTGCACTTTGCTCATAAAGCGCGCGGGACACGACTCCAAATAAAGGAAGCGATTTTAGAGAGCCCAATGTTTGTTTGAATCACAATCAAAATAGTGGAGAACGGCCAGGCACACTCCAGAGGGCAAAACTGAGCCACGGTGATCCAGTGGGTTACCTGCATCTCATTTCAAAGGGAGAGCTTTTGTTTCCAATTAAAGAACATCCTCCTGCTCCTTAAGATCATATTTTGTTTGGGAGGAGGGTGAGGAACGGGGTGAATGATCTTTAGCCACAGTACAGAGAGCGCTGCTAATAACCCGTGCCCTGTTCCCAGCCATGCTGCTGCAGCTGGCAGGGCAGCGGCCGAGCCTCGCAGGAACATTTTCAGGCAGACGGAGGAATTGGTCTTGTTCTGAGCTGAGTCTTTTTTGGCAGAAGGAGACTTGAGCCACCAGGTCCAGTTTGTTAGGGAGTGTTTGCAGGCAGTGAATAATCAACCCCCTCGGCACAGAGGTACAGTGGAAGAAATAAGACACTCGGGAGGACACAACAACGCTGATAGACTGCCATCCTCCTCGGATACGGGGGCTGGATGTTGGCTGAGCAAGCACAGCTATCTCCTCTCGGCAACGGGCACTGCCAGGTGAGGAAAGCAGTCCTCAGCGCTCGATCAGATCTACCTCCTTGTCCTTCACCCATCCCTCACCAGACCACATCCAAAATCTTTCCTTACACTCATGATTTCATGCCTTTAAATGAGAAATCAGATCTTACTGGATCTGGCCAAGGCTCATTTGTGACTCTGCCATGTAGCAGAACGGAAAAAGAAAGTCCTCCCACAGCTCCTCTGGGACTTGAAATGCTCCATATAAACAACGCCCACTGCAAGGGAGGGGAGGGGAATCCTTAACAAGGAAAAACTTACCATGGATCCCTGACAGTGACCAGAGTCCCCAGAAAGGGCAGTTTTCACCCTGGAAAGGAGTCCTGGCAGCACCGGCTACTGCTGCCTCTCCCACCGCTCTCCCTGTGCAAGCACTGTACTGGGAAGGCTGGGAGAGCGCGGGCAAGAGCCGGGATCCGCGTTTATGTCTGGCAATATCCGAGCGCGCACACACACACACAAACACAGGTGAGAGCCTGTATCACAGGAAGCCCCAAATTCGCCAGTCCTCCCGCTGGCAAAGCGCCTGGTGGGGCTCCTGCCCACTCCCCTGCCCCTCTGTGAACCAAACTCCCACGAGCCCAGTGTTGGACCAGTTCAGCCCACACCTGTTTGCACTGGTGCATCTGCCTTGGCTCCAGAGTTGTGGGGGCCCAGTACAAATAGGGACTACTCCAAACCACATGCTGAGAAAAGCCATCTGTGTTTAAAACAGCTCTTTGCCGCATGTTTCTGCAGGCTGCCCTGTTCGGTTCAATAACCGGCATCCACCAAATCCACTTCTCCCAGCTCCCCTCCACCAGCTCGCTCCATCTCCTCGCTCCCATCTCCGTTTAAAGCCCGTGCCACGCAGCGTGGTCACAGTGGTTTCCTACTAAAGAAGCTATGAACGGAGCGGGCAGGGGCTGCCGTGCCTTGGGACAAGATACCTGCAGGGCAGATGTCACCCCGCGAAGGCAGCTGCGTCGGTACACGGAGAGATGACTTGTTTATCGCTTCCGACATCGCCCACTGCCACGAGGTCAAGCCAACGCAAGCAGCCACCAAGGGAAACGAGCAGGGTTATTCTTGAACGAGAGCTGCTAGGTCAGCAGTTCATACGTGAAACACGTACAGCGACGTCTACGTGGTGCTCTGCTGACCCCCTCAAAGCCTCGGCCCACCCTCCTTTGGCCTCAGATAGCATAAGACGCCCTCATCTGAAGTAGGTGAAGATGTATTGCTCGACACAATAGGCTCAGCTGGAGACTGTTCCTGCCTGTCTAATGTGAGAACTGGAATAATTACTCCTATTTTTCGGTTGCAGAAACTGAGGCAAAGAAAACAAGGCGACTTGTCCAAGGCCACACAGCAAGCCGCAGCTCAAGAGATCGGGACTAAGCCCATAACATACTTTTTGTTCCCTTGGTTGAGATACTGCTCGGCAGCCCTCATGCAGATGGCCTTGTAACTAAGCAAACTGAGTGGGACTGAGATCTAGATTTGTTTTCCAGACTTGTCACAGATTACTCATGTGATCTTGAGAAAGTCACTTCATCTCTTTGTGGCCAAGTTCACAGTCTATGTATCCTACAGTCACATACCCAAGTCTGCATCTGTGCTTTTCTTCATATCCTTCTGAAGTTTTTTGGTCTGATCTTCCAATCTGAAAGATGGGAGAACAAGGCAAAGTCTGAATCTTGGAAAGAAACAAACCGAAGAGTATCGTACGTGCAACAAATCATTTACGGGCTGAATATGCTGGCTTCTGTTGTGAGTTAAAAATATCCAGGCAAGGCTCTACAAAGTTCAGTGCTGCTCAACCTTTTCTGGTTCTTTTCAGATGGTTTTCAACCTTTTCAAGTCGGTGATCTCTTAGTCAAAGTCACATATTTTCTTAAGTCCTCACACTCACCACAAATGGTAAAGCCAAATGCTTCCAGATGATAAGTGTGAGCTTATGTGACACAGTCAGTATGGTAAAGCCAATATTTGTCCTCAGAGGTGTTGAGCTGTTCAGTGACCCCAGAGTTTTCTGGCAATTTTATACTCTTTACTTTAGAGCTGCCATAATCTGCAAACCTCAACCCCACCGCAAATACTTCTTAGGACACCTTTGAACACCCAGCCACCAGAGAAACTCTGAAGAATTAGAAATTACAGGGCAGCGAGTGATTTGCTGGGAAGAGCATAACTGGCTAAAATTTCCTGGGAAGATGCAATAAGAGGGCACAACAGAGAAGTATGCTACTGTTCCTGTTTTACCAGTGTGGTTGATACTTACTGCTGAAGCTTTCCATATTCCCTTTCAAAGTCTCTCTCCACCTGTGGAAAGAAGAGATGGAAATCAGCTCCAAGGTACTGTGGCAGAGCCTGGAGTGGCAACTACCCATGCAGGGAAACCTGTCCTCAGGAAATGCCTACGTGAACCCAGGGAAGCAGAAGCTCCAGCTATAAGGGGAGTTACGCTTCAAAAGTAAATGAAGTCTTGGGATTTTTTTTTTTTTTTTCCTTCAGACTCCCTTAGAGCAAAAGACACCGCCACCAACTGCGTCAGCTCATTCCAAGGATGTGCTCCAGCATGGGAATTGGAAGCTGACAGAGTAAATGGGAATGCCTTAAAAGCAGAGAGATCACAACTTAGCAAGCACTGACACAGGCGCCCACAACTCAGCTCGGTGCCAGCCGGGGGACGAGCCCGCTTTCTCTTCCAGAGGCACGATGGTCCCAGAAGCTGAGAGGAGCCGCTGCAAAGGACCCCCGCAGTGGGTCTGCCCATGGCTGGCTGCCAGACCCCCACCCAGCCGCTCCATCCTTCCCCATCCTCAACAAGATGGGTTTTCTCCCCTCAAACCCCTCAAGCCATGACTGAGCCCTCCAGTCTCCGTATTATTCATCCCCTCCACACGTTCCTTATTCCTACAACGCCAACCTCCGATGAAATGCTTCAGCTGGAGCAGCGGCCCGTGCGGACTGCGACACCTCGCAAAGGGAGGAGAAACCTGCGCTGGCGAAGAGCGCAGAGCTAAAGAACAGCCTTCTCCCGATGCTACATCAATGACTGCTTCCTCCTACTTGCTATCTGGCAGCAAATCTCCAGCGATACAAGATATTTTAAGGAACTTTCCTTCCATGCTGACTGTTTCAACACACACTTAAACATTCATTCCACACCTCGTCGACCAAATAAGCAAATGGATTTCAATTGACCAGCCAAGAGTAAATACATGCGCTTTTGTTGTCATGGGATCAAAACTGGGTTCATTTGTGTTGTCAAGCTACCATGCTATTAAGGAAATGCTAAGTGTTGCAAGCAGCCAGGACTAGAAGGATCCAAAGGTTTGTTCCAAATCTTCATGCTGTCCTCGGGATTTCAAAACCAGGCTTGGTGCAACGGCATTATGTGAAACCAGAACACTTATTAGGGACATTTGCTTTTCGATCAAAATTGCTATTAAAAGACCAGCATTTTACGACGGAGCTCAGTAATCCCAGTTTTCCTGAAACTCTCTTTTCTAAATATCTTTTTTCCTCTGCACTTTCAGATACACCCAAACTCCGCAGCGACGCGACCAGCCCGATCCGAAGGCAGCCGGTGACCGGCGCGGCGAGCATGCCGAGTTTCAGCCCCATCCCCAATGGACAGCTGTCCACACCATCAGCTCCCACCATCCGGGGGATGCATGCTGGCTCTCCCTGTCGATGAAAAACCTCCACCGAGCTCCAACTCCCTTTCGTGCTGCTAAAAATGGTCGCTGGAGAACAGGCATGGAGCAGTGTGGGGGCAGCTCACACGACTTCTGCCTGGTTCACAGTTCTGCAGAAATCCGCAGCAGCTGGTGCCTGGAGGTCAGGTAACCAGCACATAGTAAAAATCACCCTCGATTTCTATGGCTGTTCCGGCTGCTAAAATAACCAGGGAGTATTGCACTCTATTTATATGCCTTATGTGTGAATTGTTTTGGTTGCAAACCAGGGAGGGTCGGGCATGACTCAAAAATCTGTCCTTTGGAGGCTAGTGGTATCCTTCCCCGGGCATGGAGCTCCAGCCCTCTCCACGTTTGGGAGGCTCTTCTTTGTGTCTGCTCAGGAATCGGTTCCTCCAAGAACCAGAGGTTTTGGCCATGAAATGAAACTACCTGCAAAGATTCACGGCGTCTGCCCCTTTCTTTTTGCTGCTCGATTCCCCCACTACTCCGCAATGAGCGGAGATGAGCAAAAGGCATCGTCGCCTAATGGATACGAAGGCAGGCAAAACGTCCCCACCCTGTGACCCTCCGGGTGATGTGAACCCCCCAAATCTTCCAGGGCTTCCAAGCTTCCCCAAAACACCCAACCCAGTTTGCCTGTGTGCTTTTTACATGCGATGGAGGTGAATTTACAAGGCGGCACTTCAGCTGCCCGGCCTGACTCACATCTCCAGTGCCATCTACGCGGAGACAGCTGCCCAAAGATTGCTCTTCTTTTTCACGCCCACAATAGCAACTGGTTACCAGTCATCACAGTCTGCAGGCTGAGGTAGCCCTCCCAGTCATCGCTGCTCTCATTTGCATCGCAGAAACCCCGATATATGACACAAGGAGCCAGAAGCAGGGCCCCTCATGCAGTAGACAGAGAAGATCTGCTCTCACGTGCTCCCACCGTGTAGATTTACAGGCGGCAACGACCGGCGGATCAGAGGCGTGCAAGGAGGACGAGCTGAGAGCAAGCCGAGTACATTTTGCAGAGTACACAGTAATTCCCGCTCCCAGTAGCTATCATCAATGGCCACACGTACCCGACACTTACAGCAAAAGGCTATGGATAGGATTATCACATTAAGAGTAACGAGAACAAGAAGTACAGGCAAGAAAATTACAATATCCTGAAGGGAAGTTTCCATGATATTTAAATAATCCCACTTCTCTGCAGCCTCTTTCTGAAAACTCAAAATCAAACCGTGTTTCTGTATTGAACGTTTTTTCTTCTAGGCATACGGGCTAAGTTAATGCAAGACTGCTCGTCTCTAGGTTTTTATTTAAATCTACATAAAGAACGACGAGTTCTTAAAAGCATGGAAATAAAACTACGTCCTTCTTTTTCACCCAGTTATTTTTGTTTGCCAACACTGGGTCTTCCACCTGCGATAACATCCCTCCTGCTTTAAGGGCAATATCATAATCGACACCGTGGTTACAAGGCAACGAAGCAAGACCAAAGCCAACACTACAAAGAGATGGAAATAAGGGACTGTGATGAACCTTCCTTATTCCCCTGAGGTTAATTTCTTTTCCTGGAGGAGGAGGACTAGCTGATTTCTACATGTTCCAGTGGTCTCAGCCTCTTCGCGGGTCTTGGGAAAAAGAGGAAAGCGTATGCTTCCTCCTCCCTCCTCTCCAAAAAAAAAAAAAAAAAAAAAGAAAGAAACCCATATAATTAGGCCAAAATTCTGCCGTAACCTGGAACTTCTGCTGAGCTTTTGCCATCCCATCAAGCAAGAGGAGATTCAAGGTGGGTGAATGTTCGCTCCGCGTCCGACAGCGGAGCCCTGAGCCAAAGCCACGCTGCAGAGCGCACCGTGTGTCTGGGGCTTCGCCACCCCGCAAGCTCTCCAAAGCCCCATCTAGCAAGAAAGCTTCCAAGAAAGGCTGCTTAGGTGGCACACTGAAAGGGAAAAAGAATACACCTCTGAACCGCAGAGATCGGTTACGTCCCGCTGAAGACTGAAGGAAGAAAGTGAAAATGAGTACAATTATTTAACTGGCGTCACTTGATTTCACCCCACCGTTTCTGTGACATTTACTCCGTTATTTTGGGATTTCCAGCTTGCTGCTGGAGCCCAATGGAAAGGCGCTGACGGCCGGCAGCTGCAGTGGAATCCTCCTGCTCATGGAGCTCCTCCGTCCGACATCCCTGGGGAAGGCAAGAGCTGCTGGGATGAGTCAAGGTTGGCAGGCGTGCGGGCCCACAGCTCAGGTCTCCGCTCCCTTCCAAGCTGACTCACCCAAGGTTAGCCAGCGAGGAGGAGGAAGGCGAGCCATCTGAGTCAGCCCAGGCCACAGCACTGCCGAGGGAGGGAGAAAGGGGTAAAACCCGGGTGGATGTGAAGGGGCTGCGCGCTGCGTTGCCCCATCCCAAGAGCCGGCTGACTCCCCCAGCTGCCGACCTGGCTCCGTGCCCCGCGGGGATGCATGGCCGGTTCTTCTTCCCGGCTACCTGCCGGTTCGGATAACCCAAGCTCCGGTGAAGAGCAGGGTACAACCTCGGGGTGACGCAGATGAACTTCAGCAAGCTGGAGCTGCAAGAGAGCTCGGAAGACAACTACAGCTCCAGTTCCAGCGTAACCTCTGCTCGGACCGAAGCTGTCCTGGGGGAGGGAAGAACCTCTCTGCCGTAAGAGGCTTCATCGCTGCATCGGATTTGAGCAATAAACATTCTGCAGAGAGATATAATTCTAACAGGTTTAACTCCTATCACTGGGCATTAGTTTAATTGGGCTGTGCTACTGTGTCCTCTGCGGCTCTGCTGACAGCAGGTCCTCTCTGCGCATTAGATCCTCCCACCCGGCTCCTGGCCTCTCGGCAAGCCCGGTGACAGCTGCACTTTTCAGGGGAGAGGAGGGGAGAGATTATGCTGTCTGGAATTGGATTTGCCCAGGTTAAGGTGGAAACAAAGCAGAGGCATGTCTGGGGGGTGGGAGATCACTTCAGTTCACCAGCCGATATTTTCGACGGGGGTTTCCTTCTACCTGAAGAGCTAAACTGTGCCTGACACCATGCCCTTCTTCAAAGGATCAGAAGCGAGTGGGCATAGGGAGTCATGACTAACTCCCTCTGCAGCCTAGGCAAATTGCTCTTCAGTACTACTGTCGGCCTAGATTTGACACCAGCCCAGCATCGTTTCATCAAGAAAAGAAAAAAGGCTCGCTGGCAAGCTAAGCCTCTCTCGGCAAAACAATTCTTCCCTCTCCTGCGTTCAAGTTACATGCCTCATGGAGAGCCAAATAAGTTAGATCCTAATAAATGCTTTTTTTTTTTCTTTTTTTTTCCCCCTTCCCCCCTCCTCTTTTGTGGTCCAATCTCTGTGAGTGGGAGATCCTCTACCCACAACCACTTCCCTTCTGATCGGCTTGGGATGCAGCCCTGGAGATGCCACACCTTCCCACTTCCTGCAGCGGGCTCCAGAGCCCAACATCTGGAATATCACAGACCTCGGCTGCTACCGCTGTTCCCAAAAGCCCGCACAGATGGAGTATCTCAGCCTGCAACTGGGAGGTAAAGTTGGGGGCCTCGAGCTCGCTGAAGCTACAAAGCAGCCCCATCGCTTCCACACCACGACGCTGAACGTCTCGCTCCCAGGGGAGATCGGTGGTTTCCTGCCGTTTGTTCTTCTTTGAAGAGCTGCACTTTACACTTACTGTGAGGTTGCAAGGCTTTGGGCTTCCTGTTTTCTGCTTTCCACGTTATCTGCTGCCTGGAGAGTATCATCATCATCATCATCAACAACACACAGCAAGTGGAAGCCATTTAAAAATCGGCATCCAACTCTGAGCTACCGAGTCATTGACACAAAACCTTGTTGTTCTTCTTGGGGGAGCTGAGGAAGAGGAGGAAGGAAGGAAGGAAGGAAAGGGAAAAGGCCTGGAAACACTCGCGTTGCTGAATGAACCTCTGCCTGACGGATATTCTGAGCTGTTCTATTTAATACACACACACACGCACATATATATATATATATATAAGCAATGCCTGCCAACTGCCTCAGAACAGCACATACCAGCAGCTCAGGGGAAGGCAAGCTCTCAAAGGTGCAACCGTTCATCTGCGTGGAGCCCAAGCTCCTGCCGCAGCTTGGGGACGGCCGATTTCAGCAATGGAGCACGGCACAGGGGAGACAAGGTCTCTCAGACAAACCTCCCGCAAGAGGAAACTCAGCAGGAGCAGAGGGTAATCAGCAAGCACTGGCAAGAGAAAAAAAACCTAGTCAACTTGGATGTGAGAACGGGTGGGATGGAGACATCCAAGAAAGCTGGCCAAGACACCCAGACCTGCAGAGCAGTTGGTTCTTGTGACAGCCTGGAAGGACACCGGTGTTGGAAACACCGGGAAAGAGGACCAGAAGCAAAATCTCGTGGAGCAAGGCAACGTGGGGTCTCCTAAAAAGGACGGGAATGGGTGTGAAGACCTGAGGCTGGTGGACCGCCGTTCCTGGGGGACCGCAGGCACCGGCACCTTTCACCGGCTGGTCGCCAGCCCCTGGCAAAAGGGCAGCTGAAGAGACGCAAAAACCATTGAGGGATTTTATCAGTCCTCGTCTTCCATCGCCTGCCTGGCTTAAATTTTATACTGACAGTTTGGAGCCGTTACAGACAGAAAATTGCTGCTCTACGGCAGCAGACAACTACCAAATCCTTTAAAATAAAACATGACAATCAAGCCATAAAGGGAGTGGTAGAATTAGCCCTCTGCCTCCAGGGGAAAATGTCATGTCCCAAGGAGAAACTGCCCCGTAAACACAAGTGCCCACGCATCCTGAGGAATTAGCCGTGATGAGTGTCCTAGAGAGGAAGGATCAGAGATGTTAGTCTGTTCAAGGGATTAGGTCACCAATGCCGTTATAAAGACAAGGTCTCCACCGCGCTTGCTGGCGGGGAACTTATTTTAGAGCATGTATGCAGGTTAGTTTTCAGGGACAGCTACTGTGAGGTCCCGCAGCTTTTCGGTTTTTTGGCACGGGACAAATGCAAAGACAATCTGCTTAAGAAGGGAAAATACCACAGCCAGCTGCAAGCAACAGCACTTGGGATAGGAGTCTCAAATACACGAGAATACAAAATGCTTTTTTAATTTGCTTTTAAAGCAAATGCTGTGCAGCACAAATTAATTCACGCCCGAGCACTAAGCATCTCAGCTTATAAGCCTTTCTTTGGAAACAGTTATATTCAGCGATCTGAACCACTCCTCCTCCTCCATCTGCTCAGAAAGGATGAACAAACAAGCCATTGCTGAAAGAAGGAAGGAAGGAAGGAAGCCCGTTCAGCCATCTCCGAGGAAAACTGTGCCAGACCAAAAGAGCTCTTCCCCTCACCAC